TTTTTGGGGAGCCGGCCACGTGCAACTTTCAATCCCAGTGACGTCATCAAGGTAAATATTGACATTCTGAATAGCCGAGGAAAGTCAACACAGAGACGCTTTCCCGGTGATGAGTCTTTTGTTACTAGTGGGTGGTGGTAGTAGTAGTAGTAGTAGTAGATGGTGGTGGTGGTGGTAGATAGTGGTAGTGGTAGTAGATAGTGGTAGTGGTAGTAGATAGTGGTAGTGGTGGTAATGTTAGTAGTAGATAGTGGAAGTGGTAGTAGATAGTGGTAGTAGATAGTGGTGGTGGTAGTAGATAGTGGTAGTGGTGGTAGTAGATAGTGGTAATGGTAGTAGTAGATAGTGGTAGTAGTAGATAATAGTGGTAGTAGATAGTGATAGTGGTGGTAGCAGTAGATGGTAGTGGTGGTGGTGGTAGTGGTACTTACCTATCACTGTTTACTGGTTTTGTTTTACTAGTTACATTATAGTTTAACTATTCTGACATTAGAATTATTTGCCAAATCTGGCCATAAAGTTGTGGATGGAGGTGGCTTTCGTAGCCTCCTCTTTTAGTGTCTTCCATTTGTTATCCACCCGAACAGGGTACGAGCACGTCTTACATTCCATCAACTCAATTACATTTCAACTTCCACTTATGTCCTCTTATCCTACTTTCAATTTGAAGAGGCTGCCTTGTCCACCTAATCTATTCTCCTCAATATCTTACATGTTGTGATCATATGTAACACAAAAAAGGAGCAACGCTTTCAAGCTCAACAAGCCTCAATGTAGGACTGAGAACAGGAGATGCTTTTTCACCCACAGGCTTATAAACCATTGGAACCGCCGACCCGACGAAGCCGCAAATGCCAACTGCGTTAAGTTTTGAAATTACTTGGAAAAGATCATCAAGGCAAATGGGGGGAACCTTCGACAAGCCGCCGGCTTCCTGTCTTCGTCGAGGCCACTAGGGTTAGTGTCCTCAGATAAATCACACAAATTCCCTCTTGTAGGTCGTTCACATAAATTAGGAACAGCAGCGGTCTCAGAACACAGCCTAGTGGGACCCCACATATTACATTCCTTCAGCTTCAAACCTCCTCCATGACTGTGATTCTGCTTTCTGTCCTTTAGGGGACTCCCTTACCCAGGTCAGTGGTTCACAGTTATCCCAGTCTGCTGCTCCATCTTGTACACCAGCCTTTCAAGAGGACGTGACAAAGGTTAACCCAGCCATCTGTTTATTGTCTTACTGTAGTAGCCCGGTCATAGAACTCAATCATGGTTACCAGGCACGACTTTCTCTTTCTGAATCCATGCTGCCCTTTTCTCACATAATTCTTCCTCTCCAGATGCTCCCTCATTTTCAGTCCAACCACTAGAACTGGACGGTAGAGCGACGGCCTGGCTTCATGCAGGTTGGCGTTCAATCCACGACCGCCCAAGTGGTTGGGCACCATTCCTTCTCCCCCCCCCCGTCCCATTCCAAATCCTTATCCTGATCCCTTCCTAGTGCTATATAGTCGTAATGGCTTGGCGTTGTCACCTGATAATTCCCTTCCCTTCCCTCATTTTCAACCCGATTACTTTCTCCAGCTTCTTACAAGGAATACTTATCAGTGACAACGATCTTTTAAATACTGGGTCAATATTTGCCTTCTTCCTAATTTGGGGAGATTTCCTATCTCTAGTGTTTTATTAACCATTTTAGTGACTACAATATGCCATCCATTATTTCTTCCAGCCTTTCATCCTGCAAACTTGATCTCCATGCTGGTTATATTGTAAAAACCTCCTGAAATCTTTAGGTGAGTTTCTCATATACCTACTTATCATTTTCTGTGAAAATTTTCCCCTTGTCTCCTCAATCTGAACAGATGATTTCACACTTGTTTTTTAGTTATATGGCTATAGAACAGCTTTGTTTGGTTGTTGTTGTTGGTGGTAGGTGATGGTTGTGGTGGTAGGTGGGGGGGGTGGTAATGGTAATCAAAGTATGGTAGACAGTTGTGGGGTGACTCATGAACGCTCGGTAGAGACCACAGAAACTGTATAAAAACGGAGAGCCAAATGAGGTGAATAAAAGAAAAATAACGATTGAACTAAATTACAGACCAAAACATTTGTGTAAATATATGGTTACTCAACCCCCGGGAAGTTAGGGTGATGGGATAAGGGAGCGCTTCTCTCCCCTCCCTTCCCCTTCACCTCACGCCTCAACCCCTAGGAAGCAGTGAAGGGGGCCAGGAAACACTTCACCTTCACCACCACACTTTTACCCTAGCAGCTAAAATACTCGCTAAATTTGGTTCTGGCAAAACAATGGGATTTGTGTAGAGATATAATGTAAACAGACTTGCCCCGCGGACCGCTGCCCCAGTCTCCCAACTACCTTTATGGGCGAATTTGTCAGCAACGACCTCGCCAGGCACAGCACGCCTAGGAAGGGAGAGGGCGAAGGAACAGGAGAGGGAGAGAGAGCAGGAGGAAGGAGACAGCTTGTGACGAGAGGGGAAGGCGGAGGGGGAATAAATATAATAGCCGAGCAACACTTGTTTGAGAGGGGAGAGGGGCAGTTGGGGAGAGGACAGGAGAGGGCGAGGGGAGAGGGGCAGTTAGGGAGGAGACATAAGAGGGACAGAGAGGGAGGAGAGGGGATAGGGACACCTGAAGAGAAGACAGCTATAGAGGAGAGGGGATTGGGACAGCCGGGGAAGAGAGAGAGAGAGAGCGGGACAGCTTGTGAGGAGATTGGAGAGGAAAGAAAAACGGAGAGAGAGACAATGGGAAGAATGAAGGAAATGGGAAGGGTGAAACATGGATAAAGGAGAGAATTACGAAGATGATGGGAAAGAGATATGAAGAAACGAATCTAGGTAACGAAAGGGGTACGAAAAAGCAAGACAAAACTAAGATAAAACAGGATGAAAATGGTAGAGAGAAGCAGGAGAGGGTAGATGGTGTATGATGCATACAAGACAGAGTAGTGAGGATGGAGGAATTGGAAGGGTGTGGATGGCGAGGGATGGGGGCGAGGGATGGGGCGTGAGGTGGAAGGAGCCAGAGGCCGTAAGAGCAGAGGGAAGGAGAAGAAAGAAAGTAAAGAACGATTTCCTTGGTCGTCCTGCGCCACATATTACTGCTAGGTCATAGAGCTCTAGAGGCGTCCTTCAAGTAAAATTAGAGCTGGATTACCAGTGTGTGCAACCGGTCTCTTGACTTCGTGAGTCTCTGGTGGGGGGGAGGGAGGGGTACTGGTGCGGCCCTGATGAGTACTGGGGATTGGTTGGGAGGTGAGACTGGGGAGTAGTGATGAGGGGAGGGGGAGTAAAGGGGAGAGGTGGTGGGGTAGTTCTATAGAGTGCGGGTACTGTGGAGTGCTGGGATGGGGGTAGCCACCCACTGGGGAAGTGGGGAGGAGGGGGAAGGTACTGGAGTGTAGTGGGGATGGGTAAAGTGGAACTGATGGGAAGGGGGTATACTGATAGGATCCTGGAGGGTAGGTGGATGAAGGATTAAATGTCTTCAAGAGCCAAGGGCATATATGCAAAGCAAATGCCTCCTTCCGCAGTCCGCTCCCTTGCTCTCCTTCTGGCGGGGAAGGGGGGGTGGGAACTCACCTAATTGTGCCTGCGAGGATTGAGCTTCGGCTCTTTGGTTCCGCCTCTCAACTGTTACTCAATTGGTGTACAGGTTCCTGAGCCTATTGGGCTCTATCATATCTACATTTGAAACTGTATGGAGTCAGCCTCCACCACATCACTGCCTAGTGGCACATTTGGGTGCTCAGTTTCCACCTGTGTCCCCTTGTTCGCGTAGCACCTGTGCTAAACTGTTTTTTATCTACCCTAACAATTCCTCCGAGAATCTTGTGTGTGGTGATCATGTCTCACCTAACTCTTCTTTCTTCCAGCGACGTGAGGTTTAGTGTCTGTAATCTGGAACTAAACTGAAACCAATCTTCCGTTAGTCTAGAACTGTGTGTGTGTGTGTGTGTGTGTGTGTGTGTGTGTGTGTGTGTGTGTGTGTGTGTGTGTGTGTGTGTGTGTGTGTGTGTGTGTGTGTTTGTGTGTGTGTGTTTGTGTGTGTGTGTGTGTGTGTGTACTCACCAATTTGTACTCACCTATTTGTGCTTGGGGGGGGTTGAGCTTTGGCTCTTTGGTCCCGCCTCTCAACTGTCACTGCTCTTTGCGCACACACGCATACACACACACTGTGTGTGTATGTGTGTGTAAATACTCGATGATTCTAAATTTACAAATCAACAAGAATAAATCAATAATTATCAGATGAAGACGCCAAAATCAACAAGAATAACGAAACATGTAATTTATTGTTGCTACCGTCGCCCAACATTCCCCCGTCACGTGCGCGAGGCTGACGGACAGCCTCGCGTCAAACAACAACGTTCACAATACCTACACATGTCCTCAACTACATTTATGTCAATACTCTGTCGCCAAAATTAACAACCCACCAATTTACAATGTATCAGAACCTCCGTGCCGGGAAAAGCTTGTAGGGAGAGTAAATAGTGATGCCTTGACTGACGTTATTGTGGACCAGCAAGACGGCGAATGAAGTGAAATATAAGTAACATATCCACAATTAAGTTGAAAGGAATTAAAGACAAATCTCCAAGGCTATTCGAAGGTGTTTATTATGAGCCATTTAAGAAACACCTTTATCGCGTGTTTCCGGAGGAGAGTTCATTGGCACCATCTGTGATTGGAGGCTCTGGCTCCTGGTCCCCGTCAGCTCACGAGGACCTGGCGGGGGGACTTTGTTCATGTAAAGTATCTATCTACCATACAAACGTACACGCAAATTCTAAGAGTTTACTGTAATACTGAAAAGAAATAAAATATACTTGATGGTTAGTTAATAAGCATACATAAGCCATGTTTCACATACCAAACAACATACTCTATGCAGCATACCCAGGTCACACTACATACCCAGTGAAGATAACATTGATTTGTCAAAACGTTTGGCGTTTATGGCGCCTTTTTCAGGTTTATTTGGAATGCAGTGCCGATACCTAGTTAATGATGTGACTACTGACCCAAGGTTGGATGTGAAGGTGGACGATGAAAACGATGCAGGAGTGTATAAGGTTGTCAAGGAGAAGTGTAGTGACGGGGGTGACGATACAGGAGTGTATAAGGTTGTCAAGGAGAAGTGTAGTGACGGGGGTGACGATGAAGGAGTGTATAAGGTTGTCAAGGAGAAGTGTAGTGACGGGGGTGACGATGCAGGAGTGTATAAGGTTGTCAAGGAGAAGTGTAGTGACGGGGGTGACGATGAAGGAGTGTATAAGGTTGTCAAGGAGAAGTGTAGTGACGGGGGTGACGATGAAGGAGACGGGGCACCATTACATGTAATGAGCCCTACGCCACTCTCTCCTTGCTTGCTCTTGTTGAGTCAAGGCTGCATCAGTAACGCAGAAAGCAACACCATTATGTTCCTGAGGTCCGCTTCGTGTGGTTCAGGGTTATTATTGTCTCCTATATCATCTTCCAGTCTCATGAATAAGGTCAAATATATTGATTAAATATAATGAATTTAGGGCCCCTGATGATGAAAGGTAATAAATATGTATAACACTATAGGAAAGAAGGACCCTTCCAGTTTTAAATCCCAACTTCTATTTTAGCCAGTTAATGTAAAGCTTAAGAACTTAGGTGAAGCCTCGGGGAACTTTAGAAGGGAAGGCTTCACGCCGGTGAGACACTGTGTGTGAGGCCAGTACTGGAACATGTGGACCTGGTCAAGAATGCTTACTAAACAAATGAAAAGCAAAACTAAGTCCAGAAGTTTGCTACAAGTTAACTAACTTATTAGTTAACTAACTAATCTTCACGACCTTACACGCCATACGATCTGTAGCTCCTCTCTACTCCTCCACCTTCTCCTCCTCCTCCTAGGTCTTGCCTTCGGCACCCCCTTAGATTCTCTCCTCCACCCTTGCCTCCACCTAGAACCTCTCCTCCAGCTTGAATCTCTCCCTTTCCCCATTAGTTCTCTCATTCTCCCCATCTTTACCTCACTGACCTTCCCTCTAACATTCTCTTTGTATTAGACACTTGTCTGAGATATTCTATCTTGATCTCTGTCTAGTAATTGACTTTTTACAAGTAACAGCTTATTCAAAACAATTTATACTATTTTATAGGTAATAATATCAGTGAATAATAGTTTTAATTTTTTCACAATATTTTCTAAATGCCGGAATATATATATATATATATATATATATATATATATATATATATATATATATATATATATATATATATATATATATATATATATATATATATATATAGTTCATTCACTTGGGCCATCGGAGCCTCGAACACAGAACCACAAAAGTGGAAAGCTGTAGTTCTACCAACCAAGTTAATGAACACCCAAAACATGAGTTAGATATCCGTTGTGTGTCACAAAAGTTCTTAATCAGAGCTCAGCACACCTAATAATTATTATGTCAGCTAGTAACATTGATTTTTGCTCAGCAACATCTATGTATTTACAGAATATTAGTATATATTGGCGGTAAGTCGTTTCAACATCGAATATTATAGGATAATAGAAGAGCTGCTGTTAATGGTGATCTTGAGTCTACACACTACACAGTTTATACATTAATCTCACACATTTGTCATATAGATACATGATATGGTACAAATAGGGACACAGTGCATGAGTTTCTGATATGTTATCATTTGTAATAAGATGGTTTACCACTTCTTGCAGCGTGAGTTTTAATTTATCTTTAAATGACAAATGTTTCCAGAGTGTACAATGTAATGCTGTAGCGTGTGAGGCTGTGTTAGTGTACGCGTTGTACACTCTCCGTCACTCAGAGCCTTGTACACTCTCCGTCACTCAGAGCCTTGTACACTCTCCGTCACTCAGAGCCTTGTACACTCTCCGTCACTCAGAGCCTTGTACACTCTCCGTCACTCAAAGCCTTGTACACTCTCCGTCACTCAGAGCCGTGTACACTCTCCGTCACTCAGAGCCTTGTACACTCTCCGTCACTCAGAGCCTTGTACACTCTCCGTTGTGGGGAAATTTTTACCCACCATATCTAATAATCATCTAAGAAATGTATAATTTCTATATCATATCTAAATCATATCAAAATCATATCTAAATCGTATCAAAATCATATAATGAATCTTTAAAGATTCATTATAGCTTGATCCTGGATGACAATGGCACCATGAACACGTACGCAACAGGGGCCCTTTTGATGCCTACGTGACTTTGTACATGATCTTTCAAGGATCCAGAAGCTTCTAGAAGGACTTCTTAATTAAAAAACTATTGGAACATTGATTCAACATCCGGTAGGATTAAAAATCGAATCCTTAATAAGATTCAGTGGTACTTTCAAATACTACTTATAATCTTTAAATCTTATATCTAATTATATTATAATCACATCTTATCTTAATCATAAGTCTAGACTGTAAAAATAATCAATCAATATTCATTGCAAGCTACCTCTCAAGGGAGAGGGGGAAGGCTCTCGGGGGGCGAGAAGCGCCCACGACGATGCCTCGCGGCACTCCGCGTTTGTTTACAAATGAGTGAACAAGTGACTGATCCTTAGCGAACATTACCAGCTCAAGGACACCTTATCTAATATTTTTATCGCCAGTGAATACTCTCTAGAACTGGGGGAGTACCTGGACAATATCTACAAGGAAAATCCGTGAACATTCACATAAAATAGAGTGTATAGTGGAGATCAGTGACACGGTTTCCTCCACCTTCATTCATAAACTTTTATCTCGAATCATTCTTCTGCAACTGCAGGATAATCACGTAGCAACGCTACCAGATCATCATACAGCAACGCTGTAGCAAAATATCGTGCCTAAACTCAACAAGAGAGAGTTAATCAGTCTGGCAAACTTGTCAGACAGGCACCCCGACTGGCAGAGAAGTATATTGAAGGTTATTTGGTATATGATTGGCCAATTGTATGCTTGTGTAGCTTTAATATCCTATAAATCTGTCTGTTGGTTAAAAAGCGAGGCTAAGCCTCACATATCGGTACGTTTATTAAAATTGTAGTGTAGCTGTGAATCTTATCCAAGCACTGAACCTCATGAGTGTCCATTCTGTCAGAAAAGAATTCAGCCTCAATAAGTAAAAACCTCACAAGTGTCCACAGTCTTGGAAGAGATTCAGTCAAGCTAACTGTATAAAGTGAATATGTCTGCATATATATTTGAATATATAAATTAAGTTATCAATTGCTTGCTTAGTTATTTATAAGTTATCATATAAGTTCATTTAATTGAATATAATTTCTAGTACTTAGTTAATAGTATTTAGACTACATTTAAGGTCATTTATTATACTTTTACAATTTAATTTGTTGTTTATAGTATAAGAACATATTGGCTGTCAAGTTATGGTACTAGGTTAGACTATGTATGTTTAAATCTCTGATTTAAACAGAGCCAGTGTTCAGTCAGATAACTGAATTTATCAAATCTTATCCTTGTATAAAATACAAGCTGATGTGAGATCCCTGTCTACAGGTGGATTGGAACTTCTATCAACAAGTCATTCACCCCACCTGTCCCTTACAGCCCACAGTTTGTCATTAGGAAAAGAGGATTTAGGATTTACAACCCTAGCTAGAGATTTTAATTGAATTAATTTGCAGACAGTAATTTTTTAATTTAGTTCAGTACAAGTCCCTGGTAGTCTCCTCTTATATCAATCCCAGCAGGTTTTTCCCACATTAATGGTCCTTCGAACCTAGATAATAATGGTCCTTTGTACCTAGATATTTATGATCATTCGTTTACCGAATATTTCAATGCCAAATACATAAGAAACTTCTTGATTTTGCATTGGAATAATTCTTACATATTCTAGCCTAACCTGGCTATCAGCCAATATTTATCATAGCTATATATCTAAGTAAACAAATAGTTTGCAGTGGCTTAAGCCACCATATCCATTAACTAGTAAGCATTCATAGTATTCATAGCATACTATATTGTTTTGTGTTAAGAAACCACAGTACTTAAGTATATCAGTGTCACAGACACAACTGCATCTTAATCATAAATATCAATTATCTACCTCATTGTGGTAACATTACATATATATTTAAGTGTATTATCTAGCATTATCTCTAATCTACTGATTTTCAGAGCTGCTCATTACATAATATTCTTTAAAAAAGTGTTATCATCACTGTAAGAGCATTTCATTACAATCTATCTATAATCAACTATATCATACCCTATATTACAGGTAAAACCAGTAGACATTCTACTGTATTTTATCTAACTATTATTATGGTAACAGATTTTGTAATAACTTTGCAAAAATAGTGCCATTTACTATTTTTAAAAAATTATTACAGGATTTACCAACTTGGTGCATTCGTGCATTCGGGTCACAAATCAAATTATTACAGTACTTTTGATAATTGAACACCTGCTACAACCAGATTCCAGGGAGGAAATGAAGGACGATCTTTGGAATCATTACCTAAGTAGACAGGAAAGCTCATTTATCAAAATACATTAACATCATACATATTTATCAGAAAAAAGAGAAAAATCTCGGAATCTCCGAAACTCGGAAAAGGTCAAAATGACTAACAGTATTCCACCAGCAGCTGAAACAGAAAAGAAGAGGACACAAAGTGTCTAAAAAATCACTTGAATCTACAGCCTACAGACCATTTAAATCAGGTGATAGACAAATGTCATCATCACTTGGCTACAATAGTCTACAATTGGGGATTAAGACCAATCTTAATCTCACAACACAATCTGAAAGGCTAACAACACATTGACAATGTCAATACAAATATTATCATCCATCTAAGATAACTATCTTAATCCAAGAATATAGTCTTGATCACCTAATCTCATGCTTTCACTGGAGTGAAAGCAGCCTCAGAAAATCTGAAGTTAATCAAGCATCTCAAAGAGACTTACTTAATAGAAAAGGCAAAGCCGAGAAAAAAGCAAAAGCAAAATGCTTCATCACATCATGAATAATGTAGATACACATTATTACAGATACAATTCATCCTTTAAGGAAATCCTTGGAGGAGTACAAGTGTTACATGCTTGTATAACCTACTTCCATGTAATTGCTTACCTACAAGTGTTACATACTTGTAACAACATCTTGTAACAAAGCCAAATCATTGATGGACTTCGAGCTTACGTACAAAGATTACGAAGCCGAGGAAAACTTAGATCTCAAGAAAAAATCCCCAAAGGTGAATCCACGGACAAAAGCAAAAATGTCCAGAATGGCAGTCAAAAATCAAGACAACAAAACTCCTCTTCTGCAAAGTGGAAACAGAATAATGTTGGCTCTTAT